GCTTCATATTCAACTGGCAAGAATCTCCCCATTTCCGAAACAGATAGTACTGCGACGGTATACCTTTTCATTTCCTGTGTCACATTCTGACCTTCCTAGTTAAAATTGGGCGTATGCCTGGCTACATTATGACGAGTTGTCTATTTTTTAATGACCGCAAAATACCAGACGCGCCCTATACCCGACTACAGGACTTCGATTTGCGATGGATTAAGAAACGTCTTGATGGAGGATTATTTCCACGAAGAACTCAATCTCTACCCAAATATAGCTCTGTAGAGATCAATAAAGTTTACTTTTCAATTACATCTCGTATCATAGATCTTATATGTTCACGTATAAGGCGACCTATAGATAAGACGAGACCCAGAATCTTGGTAAAATTTCGAGATTTTATCTGATATCCTAAGTCTAAGACGACCAAGAACGTAGGCTAGCTACGATGACAGTAGCAATTAGGACGATCATAATGATGCCTCTGAGTCTAAAATAAAGCTGATGTTATTAAAATGTTGTTTTTACTTACCTTTATCGTTATCAAATCCAAAGAAATAAAATAATATAAATTATTAACATGAATCTTTATGAAAAGAAAAATAACGATCTCATTTTTACGACTCGTACGAATGAAAACAGCGGCGTATTCTGTGATAAGTAAAGATTTTATGACAGCTTAAATGTTTTTGTTACTTAACAAGGAAATACCGTATAATGGATGTTATTGAAAAATAAAGTTTGCATGTTATATTAAATGTTGTTATTTAACACCACAATAATAATGAATTTTAAATTAGAAATTTAAATTAGAAAATAATTTAGATAAGGATGAAAATGCCTATCATCGACAAATCAAGAACGAAATATTATTTGTTACTTGTGCGTCTTGCTCAACGGAACTTTTGCAAATTCTTGTGTAATCGTCTCTTGAATATTCTATTTTAATGTCAAAGCAAGAAGTAAAAGTATTTTAATTACATTTATAACTGTAGTACAGAATTATAATCTGAATTGGTTTAAACCAGGGGTCGGCAACTTATTCGACCCCCGCGGGTCGGATCGTGTTATAATGACGGGTCGCGGGCCGGACGAAGGCCATTAATGAAAAATTAAGGAAAATTACATATGCAGAGCCCCTGTCAACCTAAATATTTAAAACCATAATGAAAATAAACATTGAGAAATCAGAAAAAAACAAAAGAAAATCTAAAATTAAAAAACACCTAACAAAAATTACTTTTCCTCAAGGAACGTCAAAATACTTCAAAGTGAAAAAAGTCAACCAAAGTGAAATGGATGAGATTATGACGTGTAGATTTGAAACTGTTATTGAAAATTGTTCCACAAACGAACCACACACAAACACATCAAACAAAAACGAAGCACATATATCCATACATACGAGTACAAATAGTTGCAAACATATACACTTACGTACGTACATATGTGGTATCATCGACACATTCATGAGGCATGTATGTATAATGCGCGTATGTTTAACTGTCTTTAGATTTCTGCTACCTCGCATGTCAGTCCCTCCCTGGCCTCTTTTCACTTTATCGTTCCTTTCGCTTCTGTTATCTTTTAATGTAGCCAAGGGTCATAACAAATATGTATCCATTATTTGACATTAAACGTAGGCAACGCAACTTGGTAAAATAAGTCTCATGAAAAATAACTGGCAGATAGTCTAATTCGAAAGCCTCGTCTCTCATGTTAAAAATAGAGTCATTGGTAATCAGGCTCGCGGGCCGGTCGCAATGCCTTCGCGGGCCGGATCCGCTCTGTAGGTTGCCGACCCTTGGTTTAAACCAAGGCAATTGTCAGCCTACCGCGACCCATGGTGCAAGCATACTAGCCTACTTACCAGTGCCGATACACCACAGGATTTAAGATTATCTTTTTGTAACTGTTGTATTATCCCCTATTTTGGGAGATAATTTATAAAAATTTAACAGTCGCCTTATACCCGGGAATATGCAGTAATAATAATAATGATTAAGCGGCTCGACCAGGGATATCCTTACAAGTATCTGGGTGTAAATGAATACGATAGAATAAAGTATTCGAAGATGAAAGAAAGAATCGGAAAGGAACGCGTGTAGTAATGAAAACTGGATTAGTTTCGAAATATATAAGAACGGCCATTAGCCCTTTCTTTCGGAGTGGTAACGTAGAACTTCAATGTAATACATTAGACGTTAAAAGAACTCAAGAATGCAGCAGACTAATTCGGATGACGACCGTGTCTATCTGCCAAGGAACAATGGGAATAGGGGTATGAATCAATTGGAATTGTCTTACAATAATGGTAATTTATAACTATGTTGCAGCTACACAAGATCGGATGTTACAACTCGTAATGGAACATGAAAAAAAAACAAACAAACAAAAAGCTTTATTATGTATCAAAAGAAGCTCATAAATATGCAAGAGAATTCGAGTTAAATCTTGAAAGTAATTTTGAAACGAGAAGCAAAAAAAAACAAAAATCTTAGCCAAAGTTAAATCGAAGAAAGCTTGAGACAAATGTCTCTACATCGCCGGTTCCTTTTCCGAAGCAAAAATAATGACCTAGAACAATTCGTACACCGACAAGCAACTAAAGAGTTCAGGAATTAATCGTGAGAATGAAGGAATTATTCTTGCTACACAGGATCAAATCCCGCTTACACGCAACTACCAAGCTAATATCAATCAAATTCCATCCAATGTAATTCTTAGGAGCTGTTGTGGTGTCCACCCTCTAAAGAGTCTATGTTGGACTCTTCCGCCTACTATAAGATTAGTAGGAGAGAAGGCCTTGGGGGAACAGTCGACCAGATTGTTCATTTCTGTCGAACTCTCTGCCTCGGCAGAGAGGAACTCGGACGAAGTTTTGCCGAAGGGCAAAGTTTCGTCTGGGGAGGTAGACAGTCCCTGAATCCGTTTAGGCGGGTTCAAAGGAAATATTTTTGGCCGAGCCTACAGGCTCGGAGTACCCACAATAAACCGGCCTTTTGCCACATACACCCTCGTGGGAAGGCTGTTAAATATTATCAGTCGACCAGACTGTTCGTAACTGTCGAATTCTCTGCCTCGAGCAGAGAGGAACTCAGACGAAGTTTTGCCGAAGGGCAAAGTTTCGTCTGGGGAGGTAGACAGTCCCTGAATCCGTTTAGGCGGGTTCAAAGGAAATATTTTTGGCCGAGCCTACAGGCTCGAGAGTACCCACAATAAACCGGCCTTTTTGCCACATACACCCTCGTGGGAAGGCTGTTAAATATTATCAGTCGACCAGACTGTTCGTAACTGTCGAATTCTCTGCCTCGAGCAGAGAGGAACCCGGACGAGGATTTGCCGAAGGGCAAAGTTTCGTCTGGGGAGGTAGACAAAATCTGAACCCGTTTATGTGGTTCTAAGGGAATATTTTGGCCGGGGCTGCGGCCTCGGAGAACCCTCGATAAACTCAGCCTTGTGCCACATACATCCCTCATTGGGGGCGGGGTTGTTAAATATTAACAGTCGAACAGATTGAACGCTGGGTCAACCGGCACACATTGAATAGTCTTCTGTTGCATTGACTGTTTAATATATGGTATATCTGCAACGCTTGTTTTATTTCTTAAACATTTACCTGGTCACAAGAGGAACGATAGTTCTTTTCACAAGATTACCCCCCCACCGTTAAACCATCCATTGAAACCAACTCATCTTGACCTTGATATGTCCTTTAAGTGTCAAATTCTCCAAGCCTTCCTTCCTTGTATGTCTGATGTGGGCCCAAAGTTGGGACCACGGAAGGAAAACACGGAACACTGATTAGAGGTAAGAAAGATATATTAAACAAGAAAGGTTACAAAGTTAGTGTAAGTGTAAGTGGAGCTTACTATGTGCTAGTGTCCAATATTGGTAGTTGTACGCGGCTGATACTACGATATTAGAATACTCTCTCTCTCTCTCTCTCTCCTCCTACTCCTACTCCTACTCCTCTTTCTCCTAGAGTATTATATCGCATACTTTATATAGTCCTGTTGTAGGTATGTTACGGTCTCACAACAATGTCCAAGAAATATCAGCTGGCTTTTTATGATTATGAGTATATGTCTTTGCTTGTTCGGATTTTGGTGTTGCTTTCCCCCCTTCCCAGATGTTTAGACTCGGGTACTTGTTCGATGTTAACGTCTTCCCCTCGCAGTTCTATCTTGGACTTTCTTTTTGTCTTCTTGAAGTTGATTGTTCGTCCCTTTTCTCCTCGCTTTATTCTAATGACCTGCCTAGGAGCCCCTGTAGTTTTCCTTACAAATCAGCCATCTTTTTATTTTATCTCCTAATACTTTATTTGGTTTCTGGAAAGCAACTTTCGCTATTCCGATACATCTACGGATTTCTGGGTCTTATTTTCCGTCGTCTGTTACTACACTGACCAGATAATAGATATGCTTAATGCTGACATCCCCAATACACCGTTCATACCTTGAGCCAGGCCTGGCACGTACTGAGTCTTAAACTCCCGACTGGGGGTGGATCGAATCTGTCCTAGATATTTGAAAAAGATTCTTCATCCCTTTCCCAAGCTGTGAATTTTGAATTTAACTCGATTCCTAATCTATTTTATCAACATTTGCTTTTTTTTCTACCTACATTTATATAACTTACAAATTAAACAAAGCACAGCTGACTATTAACCCTAGAACACTAACCATGGGTATATGGATACCCAAAATTTGCGCAAATTTTTGATTTTTTTTATTTACAATTTTCAGTACCTGATTTTTTAGATACATTACCTAAATAATATGTTTTCAGTTCCTATTAATTATTAACTCAAAATTACAAATTTTTGAAGTAACCTGCATGTAACATATTCCAAATAAAGATTTATATTTAATATTTTTATATTTTATTTTTCGTTGTCCGGATTTTCAAAATCGGGTATGATATACCCATGGTTTTAATGGTGTAACTTTTTTTCTGTTTAATTGATGGTTAGTGATCTAGGGTTGAAGGATGAAATTTGACGT